TCTACACCGTCTGAACTTTTGCTTTACTTCAGTAGTGAGTGTAAAGGATTATTTGGGTTGCCAGAGACTCTTGTGGTATTCCAATTCCATTCTGGAATACCACCCTTCGTTCCACCAAAAGTTAGATAAACGGGGGCTCGACCATCTTCATTGCGAGTATCTAGTACACGTCATCGGACTTGATGACCGTGGCAAACAGGAACAAGCTCAAATACCTAGTTTTGACTAGATGAATCTCGAGAAAGCTTTGGTGGTCATTGATTCTATGGTTGCTTTGCCCGATTCTGTCTATGTTGATACGATGCCGAGTTGGAACATTTGCCCACATTGTGACTTGCATTTCTGGAGACACAAGATAGTTTTACGGTCATAAAGTTTCGACATTTATAAAAGGAAGGGTTTCCACGATGACGGTACGAACAGTTTGTTGATTCCATCCTTCTCGCCTGCATGCTTGTGTATCCTGTACTGCTCAAAACTTCAAGTTGTTGATTTTGGTCTTGAGAACGTTAACAAGCCATCGCTCCCAAAGCAAACTGCCTTGTTGTTTTGATGCCTGTTCCAATATGAGGGGTTTTGATCATGGCCTGCGACATGAGTGTTGCATCTAAGGAAGACCTACTCGAGTGAATCGTGGGGATCACGGTGCTAATTGAAGGCTAGCGTCCGGCAAATGGCCCGGGATATCTAGCTTCTTATCTTTTTCAAATCATTCTATGAAACAATTCAAAGAACCCCCAGTTAACAACGAAGCCATTGCCAGCCAATTTTTCCAGTCAATTGGCACGATAGTATGAAATCCTTCCTTATCATCAGTTCAGTATATAGACAAGCATATCAATTATGCCTTGAAATCGGAAATACTTCGTTCCCGTCGCTAGTAGTAACGGTTGGTGGCCGAATCTGATGCACCAATCATGTTCGACCATCATAGAGATAAGAAAAGAAAAAAAGCACAAGTCTGGTCCGCTCTGAGCCACCAAATGTATCTTACTCAAGCCCATGGCTACTGATGGGTATAGATATGGGTACAGAGAAAGGTTTTCTTATCTTCTCTGCATCAAGATAAAGAGATATCCGCGGAAATCCTCAAAGATCCTACTTTGCTTCAGGAGCTGCACCATCCACGATATCGTGCTTTAGGAAAGTCATAGTTTGACTTTAGGTGATACCCTCTGTAAATTTGATGATTGACACACTTGTCTGGAGAGTTCCTAGTGGGATTTCTACCGTAGGACTTATTGACTGAAATGATTTCAAATAATTGGTGCACTGTGCTCCATCGCTCCTTGTACCCATCTGGGTTTTGCCTTTAGTCTTTCCTTGCATCATCACTCTCCATTATTGTTATCCGCGGAGAAGTTTATATGTTCAATGGCTTGAAACCCTCGTCAAATATTCGTTTCCTCATCTATCTGAGCGCAAGAGGATTTCACTGGATTAATACCATCATATACTACAGACTTTCAGTTGTAAGAATTTTCCAACTGTTTCGTCTCATTCTCATGATTTCGATATCTTGAACGAAGAAGGGAATCCCAATGGCTAGTGCTCAATTCATGAATGAACTCTCTCCCGAGGTTGATGCGGAGATGTCGAAGATGATCCCTCAATTGCCACAGACTCCACCAGATTCAAATGAGAACAGTGCAGATGAGCTGGGTTCTTTATCAAGTCGACCTAGTTCAACCTCATTGTCATCGCAGCGATACACTCTCCCACCTCCAACGAATCCACCGACAGAAATTCTCAAGGAGGACTTAAAAACACCAGACAATCAAGTGCCCCGGGACCCTCGACTAATTCGGCTGACTGGAATTCATCCATTCAATACCGAGCCTCCATTAAGCGCTTTATATGATGAAGGATTCCTCACATCGCCTGAACTGTTCTATGTCCGAAATCATGGAGCTGTACCTCATGTTGAGGACTCATCAATACCCGACTGGGAATTCTCCGTCGAGGGACTGGTCAAAAAACCCTTTACGCTCACACTCAAAGATCTCCTGAGAGAATACGAACAAATCACCGTACCTATAACACTTGTCTGTGCCGGTAATCGTCGTAAAGAACAGAACCAAGTCCGGAAATCTAAAGGTTTCTCGTGGGGAGCTGCAGGCGTGTCAACGGCATTATGGACAGGCGTACCAATGTACGAACTGATTAGAAAAGCGATGCCAATGAGGGGAGCAAAGTATGTTTGTATGGAGGGTGCCGATAAGCTTCCTAATGGTTACTATGGAACTTCCCTGAAGCTTAACTGGGTTATGGACCCAAATAGAGGAATCATGATAGCTCACAAGATGAACGGAGAAATGCTTCGACCCGATCATGGTAAACCTTTACGAGCTGTTGTTCCCGGTCAAATTGGTGGCCGCAGTGTGAAATGGTTGAAGAAGATTATTGTTACTGCAGCTCCTAGCGATAATTGGTACCACATCTACGATAATCGAGTCCTCCCAACTATGATCAGCCCCGAGCAGAGTGCTAATGAACCCAAGTGGTGGACCGATGAGAGATATGCTATCTACGATTTGAGTACCAACAGCGCCACCGCATACCCAGAACACGAAGAGCGAATATCTTTGGTAAACGGAAAGCAAATATATCGTGCAAAGGGCTATGCGTATGGTGGTGGCGGACGACGTATTACGAGAGTCGAGGTGACACTTGACAAAGGAATATCGTGGGCGTTAGCTGATATACGATACCACGAAGACGAATATCGAGACCGTGCTTACGAAGATGAAACATTGTTCGGAGGTAAATTAGATATGGAATGGAGAGAAACATGTTTCACATGGTGTTTTTGGGAGGTTGATCTGGGGATTCAAGATCTTGCAATGTCAGGAGATATTATGGTAAGAGCCATGGACGAGAGTATGAATGTTCAACCGAGGGATATGTACTGGAGTGTGCTTGGCATGATGAATAACCCATGGTATCGAGTGACCATTGCCAAAGAAGGCGATTATTTACGCTTCGAACACCCCACACAACCAGCACTTATGCCAGGAGGATGGATGGAAAGAGTCAAAGCTGCTGGAGGGAATCTCGCCAATGGATTTTGGGGCGAGAAGATGGGTACTGAAGATGATTCTGTCGCTTCGGTAGAAGTCAAGCAAGAGATAAAAATGACAAAAGACGACTTGAAGCGTGAAATATCCATCGAGGAATTACGTCAACATGACAACGAAAAGGAACCCTGGTTTGTGCTCAACGGCGAAGTCTACGACGGTGCCCCATTCCTGGAAGGTCACCCAGGAGGCGCAACAAGTATTACCGGAGCCGCAGGCCAAGACTCCACCGACGAATTCATGGCCATCCATTCCGAGACGGCAAAAGCAATGATGTCCGCCTACCACATTGGAACTCTTTCCTCCTCAGTCCGCAGCTCCCTTCTCAACCCCGAACCCCTCTCCTCCTCATCTCAATGTCTCCGTCCCATCTTCCTCCAACCCAAAAGCTGGCAAAAAGCCATCCTCACCGCCAAAAAAGTCATCTCGAGCGATACGCGCATCTTTTCTTTTACTCTCGATCATCCAGAGCAAGTCATCGGGTTGCCGGTTGGTCAACATCTCATGATGCGCTTACGGGATCGCGTTACTAGGGAAGCGATCATACGATCTTACACGCCTCTTTCGCTCGGGACCGATAAAGGAGTTTTGGAAATCTTAATCAAGATCTATGTGAAAAATGAAAAGGGACCAGGAGGAAAAATGACAATGGCCTTGGAAAGTATACCCGTCGGGCATGCAATCGATTTCAAAGGACCGGTTGGAAAATTCGAGTACCTGTCGAAAGGGGAATGTGTAATTGGAGGTAAAAAGAGGAGGGTCAAGAGATTCTTGATGATCTGTGGAGGAAGTGGCGTTACACCTATTTTCTCAGTATTGAGAGCGGTTCTGAATGAAGAGGAGACGGGAAGTGCGCCAAAATGCATAGTGTTAGATGGCAATAGGAAGGCGGAAGATATTCTCTGCAGAGAGGAGTTAGATAGTTTGGTGAAGGGAAAAGAGGAGAGATGTAGATTAGTATATGCTTTGAGTCAGCCAACAGAGGAATGGAAAGGATTACGAGGGAGACTTGGAAAAGATGTTTTGGAGAAGGAAATCGGCAGGTTTGAGATGAGCGATGAGGATGATGGCTATAGGGATGGTGAACAGCTGGTTTTGATCTGTGGACCTCAACCGCTGGAGAAGAGTGTACATGGTATATTGGCGGATTTAGGGTGGAGAGATCAGGATCTACTTTTCTTTTGAGGTTTGGGGGTTTGAGGGATTGGAGGTTGGGAGGGGTGGGTTAGTATATATGGAATGGTTGTATTTATTGCTATGGAATTGCGTTTGGATCAATGGAAGGGAGGATGCTTGAATATGGTATTGATGGAGTATGTCAATAAATAGAATATGATTATTAACGAGATGTTTGTTGGATGTTATGTATCAGGGAGTGAGTCTACTAGTGAGTACATCGATTCGCGGAACATTTCTCAGCCTTTGAAACTTTCCACAAACTCATATTCTAGTCATCTGAGATCAAAATCCGTCCTTTCGATTATTCAATTTTTGATGAATAGTTGAATTCATTCTCGACATACATGTGCAAATAAACAAATTCATTCTCTAATACCTCAATATCAATATCCATTTTCTACTTATTCGAAGATTATTGAATCATTGAAATCATTCCCGAGCTACACAAACCGCCATCTCAAGCGATCCTCTCAAGTTCATTTTCCCAGTATCTCATCCGTTTGAACACTCACTAGTAATCCAAGTAAAAGAACATATCGTATCAGGATTTGAAAGCTTTATTTTTCTAAAGCTAGCTAGGTAGCACATCTAACTATTAATAAGCATCGGCTAATCATTGTGAAAGCTCTACCTGGTATATTGCCCCTCTTACTAGCGAACCCCGCGTTAGCAAGATTGATATGTGATGGATATATTCGCTAGCTCCCAATCGCTTAGCAACAATTGTTAATTTAATTCCTGTATCTATCTACCGAAGCCAAACCATCCTTTCTTCTGCTGTTGGTGCTGCTCCAGTGGTTCCTCTGGCTCTGACTCCTTCGCTTCTTCCTTCACAACAACCTTTTCTGAAGCTTTCTCGGTTGTTCTTCCTGGATAATCGACATAGTTCCACGCCGAATCGAAGAATAGTGGTTTGACGGGTACAACTTCCAGTTTTGGAGGATAGTTTACGAGATTCTTGAGGTCCACAACTCCGTCGGCTGGGTACTCATGGAGACGTTCAACTAAAGGAACTTGTTGTGCGTTTCCATCGCCTGGTTTGGGGGTAGTTGAGGTGAGATTAGATATCTCAACTAGGGCTCGATAGCGTTGAAGTTCGCATTGAAGATAAGCGAGGAGGTTTTCACTTTCGGAGGGAGTGACATTTAGATTAGGTGGAGCATCTGTAGTCGTTGTGTCCATTGACGAGGAGAGTTTTGAGTGGGCAGCTGCGCATTTTTCTGTTGCGCGGTTCAAGAGAGCTAGTGCATTTTGGGGATTTGAAAGAACTGCGTGGGAGCGGGCTATTATCAAACACCTATTTTAAGTGTCAGTTACTTTGCATGGTAAATCAAAGTTATTGGATCAACTTACTTAAGAGCTTGGAAATAGCTATATTTTGCATCTAGCTCTTCCTGTAGACTAGAATCTGCTGCAACACCTGGAAGCTCTTTAATTGACTCAATACTTTGTAAGATTGCGTCATAGAGAACAACCTTCTCACGTAGTTTTGCGAGTTTACGTCCTATAGAATCATCTTTGATGAATCTCTTGCTCTTCTCTGCGGAAAATGATTGAACGTAGTCGATAATCCCGTCTTGCTGTCCCACCATTACCCTGTTTCTGCCTATACGCCAGCCAATCATATCATAGCTAACAGCGGTCCTAGTTACTAATAGGCTTTGCATTCGCTTATCTCCTTGCCCAACGCCCTCCGAAGCTAGCTCGTCAATAGCATTCTTTGTAGCGTCTACTACCTCTTGACTAGCGATTAAAATATCGTCGTAAGCGAAGCCCCTATCCTTAGGACTGGATGAGGAAAGAGCGTTGGAAAGTTTCGTCGTTGCTGCCTTTACTGATCCAAGGGCAGTAGCTATTGCCGCATCTTCTAAAACCACGCTCCTAGATCGCCAGACAATAGTTTTGATTGTCCCATCTGATTCCAGACTTTCGACTTCTGATATTGTCCCTTCGTCTTTCAAACAATCGGGGTCTAACTTTTCCAACTGCCTTGTCATCTCTTGATCTTCCGAGGGGAAATTCTTGCGGGCAATGGCAGATATAGCTAATGTTCGAGGCAGTCCCATCTTATAAGCCGCGTATCGTATACTGGGATCAACGGGGTCGGTCAAGAGATCCTTGAAGATATCCGCTTTGGTGACCTTGGAAAGTGCAGTGTATATGATCCAAGCTTCTGAGTAGCTCTTCACACAGGACTCCCAACTTTCCTTCTCGAAATACCTCGCTCCGGCGAGAGAAGCAGTATATGCTTTAACTTCCAGTATGTCAACATCGTTCGCGTGGGTATTCAACTCATCGGACAGTAATCGAAAAAGATGGTGGGCACATTTGACGGCTTTGTGAAGGCGAGAATCGATGTGCGATCGGGTTGGACCAGTTATACCATTTTTGTCGAGCATGTGCGTTTCCTTCATCATCATTGCGTTCGCATAACATCTTTCGGCCAGGAGTAATTGAACATGAACAAATTCATGGTTGCGACTAATATCCTCCACAGTAATAGGTTTGTTGAAGTACTTTGCGCGGCGTTTTGTCGCGATGTCAAGTTTTTTTCTCAGTGTATGAATTTGGCTCGTAAGTTCAGCTTGATATTCCTTGTAAGATGAGTCGATATGTATCTTAGCACGTCTTTCAACGACAAACTTCGTGATCTCCATCGTTCGAGGGCGGTTGAGAGGAGGGTTGGGTGGATTGCGGGATTGTGGGGTTGTAGAAGAGGTACAGATCAGTTGAATTAAATCCTGGCAGAATGATTTCAGTACAAGGAAAGCGGTCAACGAAATACTGGGTTGGACCTTCTCGATTACTCATCTTCATAGTGTCTTGAGATTTAACTAACGTGATTCATCACCGAGTGGATCATATTACCAAATAAATTACTTTCACTTGAAATATTTATATCTCAATTTAACATACATTTTATTAATCAATTATTATGTAATCGAATAATAATAAAGCTCGAATACTTTTAATTATTGAAACTATTCGAAAAGATAAAAAACTTAGTATTTAATAATCTGTTAAGCTATATAATATATTATATATAATACTATATTATAAAATAAATGGTTTTACTTTTTATATCAAATCTCTATCAAATGGTAGTAATCTTTTGAAATTAAAAAAGAAGATTATTATTTAATATATAATTAATATGGATATAAAAGGTTTTATATTTAAATATAAAGGGGTGGAAGATATGACAAATTATATTCTTGAATTAAGAGGAGTAAAGAAAGTTGAAAAATAATGGGCGTATTGATTTGTAAAATGTAATAAAGAGTTAAGGATGTGTTTTACTTATATTTATAACTTTCAAAAAGCTTTTTGTAAAGATTTTAAGCTTATTGGAGATTGGTTTCGATTTATATCGAATATATGAGATAAATTTAGTATTCTTGATTGTGATTTATAGAATTTCGATGAAATAGGTTTTATAATAGGAATTATAAATGCTGGTATGGTTGTTATTAGCTTTGAAAGATTCGATAGAAGTAAAGTTATATAGTTAGGCAATCGAGAATGGGCGATAGTGATTATATGTGGTAATAATGAGGGGGATATTATACTTTTATTTTTGATAGTTTAAGGATAAATGTATTTTTTCAATTGATATATGGAAATTGATTTTCTTATAGATTGAGTTATTAAATCTATTTCTAATGAATAGATGAACAATGAGATAGAGTTAGAATGGTTAAAACATTTCGATAAATATATAAGAAATCAAATTAAGGGTAAATATAGAATACTAGTATTGGATGGGTATAAGAGTTACGAATCAATACTATTCCAGAACTATTATAAAGAGAATAATATTAAATGTATATGTTTATTATTGTATTCAAGTCATTTAATTTAGTCTTTTGATATTGAATGTTTTAGTACTTTAAAATGAGAATATGGTATTCAAATTGAGGGGTTTATAAGAGTATATATTAATTATATTTCAAAGGTCGAATTCTTTATAGTTTTCAAAGCTGTATATTAATGGTCAATTATGAATCAGAATATGAAAGTTGGGTTTCGAGGAGCAGAATTAATTCCATTTGATCTTGAAGTAGTGCTTTCTAAATTAGATATTCGAATTTATACGCCTACTCTTTTCCCTTTCAATTTAAATCTCTGGATCTCTCAAACTCCTTATAATCTTATAGAAGTTCTTTTTCAATCAATACTAGTTGTTACAACGGATTAGTAACAGGCTGTAGAATCACCAACGTATAGGCTATAATGGTACTATAAGCCTCGGTGATTCAGCTGCAGTATACCGGGGGACGCTAGGCACCCAGGAGAGCCTCAGGCATGTATATAGTATTAGTCATAGGATACCCTAGAAACATAGGACATAGTTCCCAGGACAATAGGCCCTAGGAAAGACAGAACACAGTAAGCAAGAAGGCTTCACTAGGATTAGTAATGTCCCAGGGGATTAGCCCCAGGACAAAAGAATAAGCTAGGACACCAAGTCACGGGATTAGTGTCCCGTGATGGACAGCTCAGGAACGACAGCGCTCCAGGAGCGCCCGGCTGTCCCAGCTGTCCAAGTAAGACGAAGATCTATATAAGGGAATGGGTTTCATTACAATGTAGAGCTTCGTGCTCAAGAACAATCATTAGTTTCATTACTATAGTTACGAGAATTGCAACCAGTTACAACCTTATTGAATTCCTACTTGAAGTCTAGTCTAAACCACCTCGAGAGATCTCTAGACACTTCCACGTGACCCTAGAGGCAGCTCCCGTAACACTAGTTAAATCTTGAATAACTCGTTATTAATCAAGCTTTTCTATACCTTTATTTAAGACTGTACTAGCTTTAGCTAAAGGTATAAAGAGACTAGCACATGAGAATACACTTTTAAGTGTAGAAAACTATACATTTCGAAAAGCTAATGAAGTATTAAGCTGATGTTGATGCGTAAAAAAGATATAAATATGTTAAGGAGGAGTATTTATTGAATAGGAGACTATGGATATATTATTTTAGTAAAAAGTTGATATTCAGATTCGATGCGATAAGTATTAAAATGGGGGGAATTTTAATAGGGAAGTATTTTTTAGTTGATATTGTAGTAATTGTGGAAAGATAGATTATAATATGAGAACTTATCAAATTGATATAATAGATTCTAAATTATTAGATTCTTAATAGCTTTAATTAATTGAATTAATGGTTATTGAATAATATGAATTTGAATGTGTTAATTGAGGTGAAAGTGATTTATTTGGTGATATGATCCACTCGGTGATGAATCACGTTATATGATTCAAATGTGGCTGATTTATAATTCAATTACCAAAGATGTAATAAGTGGTCAAATGCGTGGAGCTCCTCTATTGACTGTGTTGGATCAATACAATCAAATGCTTGCAGTCTCTCAACACCAATACAACAATCGAACGCTTTCAATACATCTAATCATGTCTAGATAGAATTGGGCTTGAAGCTCATACCCATATCCCGTGTGATGCTTATAGACACACTTTCCTCTGTGCCCCGGTGATGTCTGAATGTCTGTTTCTTCATCGAGACTTTATAAGTCGAATATGTATCGGTAGGTGAGAGAAACAGTGGGAGAGAACAGACTACCAGGAACCTAGAACTCATATCTTTCTTTCTCTCTTTCTTCCTTTCTCTCTTCCTATTCCAAATAAGGTTTTCAAACTAATCCATTTTAAAGACTTTCATGATCCAACACAATTCGGAACAATGAAATGGTGATATCATCACTATGCTCTTGGCGGACGGACAATACACCCCTCCATACAAAAAACAAATACTGCTTGCTTACTTAAGCAACCGGAGCAAAAATAAAACAATGATCCGACCCAGCTAAATTTATTGCCTACGTTGATATGTGAAGTTTTTGCCTCTTTTACCTTTATCAAACTCGATATCTCACTGAAACCACCATAGATTGACAGATTGTCGAAAGATCGGTATCTTCTCCTTGCCTTCTCAGTTTCAGTCTAATTTTTGACTGTGCAAAGCATGTTCTACGGTGACTACAGAGCTTGTGTGTGATCTTTTTCACTGACAAAATCGGCTGACATCGAGTTAGATTTTGATTTTCACGTTAGAGCCGCACACCGGTGACGATTAAATCTGTCTTCTACATATTCGTATACGATTTCTGTCTCTCTTGGTAGGGCATGCTCGAGCGCACGGCGGGATGTCTTGAAACAGGCAGTCTGCGGCGCCTTCTACCAGGACCAAAACACTTAGCCAAAAGTCGTCGCGCGCTTCATTCGGGATTCTGGACTCACGGTGCAATCGAGCTTGAGCTCTCGCCATTATGGCAGCTCATGTTACAAGGACCTGATTCTATCGAGGGCTCGAGCTCACGATCACCCAACGATGGAACTGTGAGCGAAAATCCTGGCCTCTTCTTGGACTTTCTCTATCCAGCCAGTACACTTAAATTCCTACGGCAATATCCAGGGTTGGGAGTTGATAGACAAGATGGGAAGAGGACCAGACTGGGATTGAGAAGTCCTGGCTATCGGCTCTACACATCTTCTGCTAAGAAACCTTCGTTAGCATTGGTTCCGGTAGATGCAGAGACGAAAGAATCCATTGAGATTAAGAAGCGTCCCATTATACATGAGCCACCTGACGATGCAGCAACCATTGCAACTGTTCTAGGAATAACAACATCATCCCGATACGAAGAGGTATGGCGAAAATATCGGCGTCTGGAATTTGGGAGCTGGGCCGAGGAGCGAATTCGAATTCAAGTCTTAGAATATATGGCAGCTTCAAATCGTATAGTAGATGCGGAGAGGGCCACTTCATTGTTCGAGCGATCTGATGAACGTCGAGAGAAACCAGAGATATACGAGATTGTGATTCGTACTTATTTGAGACTGCAGAATTTCACGAGAGCGAATGAACTTTACCACTACTCCCTCGAAAAGTTCAACACAACGGCTGGAGGATCAGATATCATGTTACATTTCATGACAAATAATTTATGGTCGCAAGCCTTCACTCTCTGGACAGAGGTGCAGCTGCACGAGAATCTCACCGGACCACGTTATGATATGTTTAAAAGTTTACATCACATAGAAGATCTTCCCAACAAAGCTTTACTCCTAGCAAAGTATGTCAACAAGTCACCCCGCCTTTCCTCCGAAGTTGAAACTCTACCATCTGAAGCCCTCACGAAATTTGCTACGGCAGTGATTACCTCAGCTCTACTGAGTGCCAAACACTTTTCATATGCCACATTCTGGCCGCTTCTAAGACATATTCAGGGCTGGGGAACTGAGACGGTTCCTCTTTATACACAGGCAACAAACATGCTACTATCTCTCGGTCAACTAAAAGCAGCCACCGTTCTTTACAGGCAGGCCCGAGAAAGCCCAATAAAGAATCTCTTACTTCCAAGATCCATGTTACAATCCATACTGCAAATATTCTTCAAAAATCATGATTTAGTTGGAGTACAAGAAGTATTTGCGGATATATTCCGCTTCAATCAGACTTTGGATCGAGCGTCGCACAGGAGATGCATGGATGAATTTGCACGACACGGAGATGCTGACACCGTTCATGCCTTGTTTGAACAGTTTGCAGAAAAGTATATGCGATTAGAAAGTGAATCTGCAACCAGTCCTAATCCTCTGGCATCGGCCGATGATATGGCGCCTCTCCTACACGTTCACGCAAGACGAGGAGAGCCCAAAATAGTCCTCGAGGTGTTCAAAAATATCCGAAAAAAATATCGTCTTAAGCCGACCATAACATGTTGCAACATTCTCATCAGTGCTTATGCACAGGTTGGTCAAATTGATGACGCCTTTGAGACTTTTGAATCTACTGTCAACAAACGAAAACTTCAACCTGATGACTACACATTTGGAACACTGATGGGGATGTGTGCCTCACGCGGTGATCTTGAAAACACCATTGAGCTTTATCGTGTGTCTGCTACTTATGGAGTTGAGAAGAGTGCAGCTATGGTTAGCACTCTCGTGACTGCTTATTTGGCAGGCGATCGATTGGAAGAAGCTGAAACCATATGCGAAGAGGCCGTGAAATTAAAGTTCTCGGATTCACGAACGCGCATGTGGAATTCTTTGCTTGTTGCTTGGGCAATGCGTTATGACCTTGTCAACGTTAATCGAATCCTTCAAAGAATGTCTAAGCTTGATATAGAGCATGATGGTGATACTTATGCTGCTCTCATGCAAGCGCTGGCTATGGTAAAACAGCCCGAACGTGCCTGGCAGATATTAGCAGAAGTTATGCCAGAAGCTGGTATACCTGCCACTAGTCTTCATTATGCGATCGTGATGGGTGGTTATCTTGCTACTAATAGCTACAAGGAAGTTTTTGTGATCCAAGATCGAATGCTTGAGCAAAAAAGAATGAAAACTGCTAGCACAAAGTTCTTGGAGTTGAGAGCTGCAATTCACGCAGCTAGGCTTACTTGGGGAGATCCACACGGCGCCATGGAGATTTTTGAACAAGTTGTCCAAACAATGAATCCTCGCGATATTAGCGACAAAGTCAGGAAAGGTATTCAGCACGAGCCACTTGATATCGCTTTTCCTACCACGTTCTTCGGGTATATTATATTTGTACTTTCGAAAAATATGGAGATAACATCCGCCAAGGATATGCATCAACGTTTCTTAAGATTGCTACCAGCCGATAGAAGAGACACACAGCCCGGGAATGTTACCACTGCTTTGATGTCACTGAAACTTCAAGAACTAGATTACGACGCCGTGGAGGATCTGTGGCATCAGTTCGTGTCCGATACCCGAAAGCGAGCTCAATCCCTTCGGCTTTCCAAATCACTTTCTCGTACCAATGATTCCGAAAAGGCGGAAGTGGTTGAAAGTGACGTCGGGAATGTATCTGAAGAGGGCGTTTTGGAAGATACCAAGGTCGATCAGCAGGAGAGCAAGGAGCCAATCAAGGCAGCACATAGACTCGCTCTGACAAAAGCCTTGCATTTCTACATGATGGCTCTTGCAAGGCAAGGAAAAATCAACGTTATGATACGAACTGTCAACGAGATTACGGATATGGGATTTCAATTGAGCAATCAAAATTGGAACGAATATATCCAACATCTTACCAAGTTTCGACATTTCAAACTAGCATTCAAGATATGCGAAACGGTCCTTATGGACCATTGGAAGGGATGGGCGAAGCTAAGAGCTTTGACAAGCGAGAAAAACAGATTACCTCTGGAAATTAGGAGGAAGGGAAAGCTATTGACGTCTCTACGTCCAGATTACCGCACATTTCTATACCTTACCAAAGGCTTTCTCAATATACAAGCTATGGCTGCGGAATCAAGGGCTAATCGACTTTTACTCAACGATTTGGAGCACGATTGTTCGAGGACACTGAATGCCATCAAAACCATGGTTAGAACAGGAGATTCTCTAGAACGAGAAATTTTGGGGTGAAGCGTATTTGATACCTTTTGTACAGTATGTATTTCATGTACGATACATAGATATAGATTTTGTGATAGATTATTACATACAAATAAACTCAACTTTGTTAGTCTCAAGACTTCAACAGCATATATTTAGACAATATTTTATCTCTCATATCCTTCTCTTCCCATTCCACAATCTTGAAGTACTCAAGATATCCCATTGACTCCACTAACTTTTCTCGCACTCGTGATTCCTACATCCGCCAACCCACTCAACGCAAACATGGCAGCAGTTCCAGCATTTGCACTGTATTCCAAATGGGCTAGTCGTATGACATCTCCCCCTTTACAAATATCGTCTTTCGGATCACAAATCGTCATCACTTTACTCGAATCGATACCCGCCACCGCAGTACCATTCTTGGGATCTCCAAACATGACGACGGATTTCACGCGTGATGTGGTGGTTGTGGGGAGCGAACTCATGGCTAGATGAACTAGTTGAGCTCCTTGAGAGTAGCCGGATACAGTGAGATGCGTATTGGGACAGCTGGTTAGAGTGTTGTTTATTAGGTTGGCCCTGGGGTGTGTTAGTTATTTAGTTTAGGGTGGGGTAGGGTGGGGAGGGGAAGGAGGAGAAGGAGGAGAAGGAGGAGAAGGAGGAGAAGGAGGAGAAGGAGGAGAAGGAGAAGGAGGAGGAGAAGGAGAAGGAAGACAAACATAGTTTTTGCACCAGCGGGATCACCGCCGGCGAGGAATCCGGATACGCTGGCGGAATAATCAACGCCTTGGATGAACATACTCCCTGTTTGGTTCATATATGCGGCGAGGGCGGTGAAGAATGGAGGACCGGTTAGGATGCCCACGTTGCCTGGTTGGTGAGTTAGTCATGTTGGCTTCGCTTCGCTACCTCGTTTCCCGTGTATTTATTTGATTCCTCTCTCGAGAGAGTGATAAGAATTTATAAATAAATAAGTAGGAAAATGAAACAGAATATACATACCCACTTCCCCCGTTCCCCGCGCAAACAACACAGTCATGGTAGCACAACTCCCATTGCTATCCAGCACATCATTCTGCGTAATCACATTTCCTCTATCCCCGAGGAAGGTTTTCAAGGTACTAGAGTTCTGGAGATCGCTTCCGAGAGTGCCGAGTTCGCTGGCTACGGAGGAGAGATCGCGGGTTTGGATTTCGATGGGGTGGGCTCTTCTGAGGTGGAGGTTGAGGGGGAAAAAGGGAAGTGAGGAGATGGTCGTTATGAAGAGGGAGATGAGGGGGAGGTAGAAAAATGTTTGGAAGGGCATTATGGGGAGGGAAATGGAAGGACCGGCCTTTGAGATTGATTGGGATGGATGGATGAGGGATGGGAAGGGAAGGGAATGTTCTTGGCATGTGTTTGTGTTTGTGGAAGAGGTATGGGATGGGATGGTAATAAGGAAGAGTAAGAAAATGATATGAAACCAGCTCTTTAGTTTCTGAATGGTGAAGATTTAGTTTGTTAGATGCATGGTTTCCTAGAAACATATTCAGCCACGATTGGGGAGGGAGAGATATCTGATGAAATCATGGCATTTTTGAGCGGCTTATCTGCAGGAATTTTGGTCTGAAGTTTGTAAGTCTATTGTTTTGCTATCTGCATGTGGTGGCTGTCACGAATGATGTTTGAGAGTTGATGTTGTATATGGAATGGATGGGTGTTTTGAAACGGTCTGAGAGGTTGTATTGTTATGTGATTATGTAAGCCGATATTGTCATTCGCTAATTGCCAATGGGTGAGTGCTCTCGTGATCTACTCCTCCTCGACTTAAAAATTGTAATACAAACAAGCTTGGATTGATTGATCTCGGAATCTATAATTTGATTATTTGATCTGTGATGAATCATATCGTCAGATCTTTAGGTTCGAAATGTTATTGCGAGTTCAAATTGTGCAGTGTTTCCATCAGTCCCGTACAACCACTGCTGCGAATCTTCGAGCAGTACATTGAGATTCCCTAGGCACACGAAGTCGAAATGCTAAAAGTTTTTCACAATTGATTTCTTCTAGAAGGCCTCAATCGTGAAGGATAATACGTCCATCAATTGGTGGGAGAGAAAATCGTCTATAGACTATCTCCTGACATCAACAACTGCCAACAGGGAAAAAAGAAGTTGTATCGGGAACCACGATCAAGGAATTGATTGCGCTCCCACTCCAAGAAGGTGCGACGTTAGAGCTAGGGCACTCTCGACGATCAAGATCAAACCTAGAGCCAGGTGTGGTTGCTCGCCATCCCAATTGCCTCTCAAGCTCGAACGACCACATTCCGGCGAGATATACCTTGTTTTTGGTCGGTAAGTATTCCCCAAATTGACGTGCCACACCAGCTATTGCCATGAGTATATCAGTTGGATACGAAAGCATAGTTTTTCTATACATCAGTAAGAGCTGAGTCCAGAACATTCGAAAATTGAAGTTTGCAGTAGGAGACTGAGGAAATAGAAGGTGATCATCGGGTATCTTTAAACATGATGATACGACAGAGAATGACTCTGATGCCATTCTTTTTTGACATTTCCATATCACTTCCCCGTCAAGAAACTGCAATGTCCTTTTGGTAAGAGCCCTTTCTTGTACAACCCAACCACGCTGATTTAGGGGTGCCTCTCAAATGGTCTGAAGCCATTTGTACTTGTTAAGATTTGTTATTCTTACTGGGCTTGTCAGACGCGGATATTTTGCTCTATAAAGATTTACACGTAGGACGTCGTCCACCATAAAGTTTTTCGGAAAGAAAAGGCCCTTTGATCCATCGGTCGCAGCAGAGGCTGCGATACAGCAAAAGGCATTCCCATAGACCTGGGACATTTTCGGTGCTTCATTCTCCCAATCTGGGATGGAATCCTGGATGATGCAAAGACTGTCAATCCAAAGTTATCTTACGTTGACGTCTCGTAAGAGTCTTTCCCCTACATCGATGGCATCTTGGAAAGTTTAACTTAGATGAGAAATGGGTAACCCTTGTTGAAAAGCTTCAATATTCTTCGTTGTCAAAGTGAGAACCGGTGCTTTACCCCAGCAGTGACTTATAGTCGCGTATGAACTTCCAGGTCCTATGTTAGACGACAAGATCAACCTTGGAGGATCGCATTCAACATCAATGAGACGTGTAGGCAAGCAACGCAAAGTCTTCTCAGAGATTGAAGCGGAATTGTATAATTCATGAGTTTCTTGGCACATTCTTATCGATGAATAACAGAAGTTCCTCCATCTCTCTTGAGAAAAATGATTGGTGTTTGTAAGAGAATGTGACATTTTATGAAAGTCGCGGTAACCTGTATAGCAATTTCAGCAGGAATGCTTAAACTCTTCGTGTTGAACCTTGGAGCTGTAGCTCAAGAATTGGACACTATGAAAAGTGCTTTACCATTTAACGTGTCTAAAACTAGCACTAAAACTCCACCACCCTTCTAATTTGTCTTCTCATAGGTTGTTTTGTAGGACAGCTTGTAATAGCCCACAGAAATGCCTTCCTTTAGTTCAAGAGACAAAGAGTTTATGACGAAACGCCTTGCAATATCATTCAAGGACAACGCATTGGTATTATTGTTTGAGTAGAAGCTCCGATAAACTCCCTCATCCCTAAATGCTCTCCATACCACAGCGCAGAAACGACAGCCTCCATGTGTGCCGTTCAATATCAACATCATGGTAGGTATTCTTCTTTGGCTAGTTTCAACCCTACCATATCCTCCGTTTCACTTCCAATCTCTATGTTGTGGAAGAGTATGCTGTTGCAAAGCTCACAAAGTGTTGTGATTTCATTCCCATCATAGGATCCGGAGGGATCGGGCGTTTCCAGGTTGCCGCTGGCCATGCCTTTGGAAGTCTCCGAGATGTACAAATTTCCTGCCTTTGCGGAATTGATGATATGTTACTCAGTTGCTGACATGAATGAAGACAGATGATAAATTTTTCTTGCGTCGCACTTTTGAATGGAGAGGGTTTGGGCAGAATTTATGAAATTGAGTGTATAGCTCCATGGTGTCTAGGATTCTTTCCAGGACCCCGGACACTATGATAAAATCAACCGATATCTAATTGGTGCTTAATAAGCTCCACATTATTTTGGACACACCTTGTCTTCTATCAGGATAACGCTTATGCTTCGACCAAAATATAACTTCATCTTCAAGTTTTTATAGAAACAAAGGTTTACTTGCCTGTACTTCTCCAGTTCCTGAACATTCGTGCAAATGAATCAAAAGCGCTGAAGGTACCAAACTTTATGCTCACCGGGAAGGACTTTCCACTTGAGAACTCAAATAACAGCCCTTATATCTCATCTCATAACTGCTAAATTTTTGGTTCATTGGTATCTTTATATGTACACTCAGATTCCCCTATTCTACCTCTACTCCTCCTTCGCAGGACCTCCTGCCGCAGCTTGAGCAATATGACTCTGCCACCAATTAACCCAATCACTTACAAAACTAGCCTGAATCTTCACACCTTCGACATCGCACTTTGTCATCGTGTGCAAGTAAACCTTTCCAATCTTCTCAAACTGACTCTTGTCCGCTCGATATATACCAGAGGCCAAAGATAAACTAGCTGTACTTGCAGCTTTGGCGAAGACCTTAGACTGGTCCTTGAGTACTTCCTCATGGATGCTCTTGATCAATGCGATGTGTGCCTTGACATTAATCTCAACCTCGGCTTCCGAAGACGATGTCTTCGATTTGGACTTTGCGAAAGCTTGAATTATAGAGAATGCCTTGTCACTCAAGTGTTTGGCCTTGGTAGTACGGATCAATCGTAACAAAGGTAATAGGATTTCCGCAGCCAAGGGATCAGACGCTTGCTTCTTGGCATATATATCAAGAAGATCCAAAACTCTGCTTTTGAAGTTGACCATATTTTCTTTGGCGTCCTTTTGTTCTTGTTTCTTACTTGGTCCCTTCTTTTGCATTCTTCCGAGAACCTCCTCTAGCTTTGGAGTTAGAGCATCCATTCCTGAATCAGTCATATCGGAGTCGCTATCGCCATCCTCGTCTTCGTCATTTTGGTCTAATGCTGAGGTGCCGAGAATCTTCGCTAAAGCGTCGTTGAGCTCTTTGTTAGCCTCGTCGTCTCCCTCATCTTCATCGTCTTCGGATTCTTCTTCATTCTCTTCCTCGTCGCTCTCTTCCTCTTCCTCTGCAAGATGTGAATTCAAGTGACCCTCCTCGCCATTCATGTCAACAACTTCGACATCCGAATCCATTTCGTCATCTTCTTCATCAACATCCATCGCGTCTTCATCATCTGGGTTCTCATCAAACATTTCCTGTTGTCCCCTCATGTTTTCGCTAGTTTCCAGCACGTCTGTCATGAGTTTTAATCCACCTTCAGTCATCTCACTCATGAAAGCAGTAAATACATGTTGAGTGACCTTTCGGAGAAGGGCGGATGGTCTAGAAAGGAAAGACAGTAAGAGCTCCACAAGAACCTCGAAAGGTTCAACTTCCGAATCTTCTGTTGATTTGTGTTTGATTAAGTTGTCGTAACATAGCTTCAACTCATCTAAAATGGACACGGCTTCAACATCTCCATTATACAACTGAAAGATTACTAAAGCATATAACAGTGACAGGGTTTGGAAAGTTGCCTTATCCTTTCCTCCTTTCTTCGCTTTCTTCATGAGTTTCTGTAATGTGGTGAATGCAGCATCTTTAGCACCAGTGATGAGTCCATCCATGGCGACTGCGTCAGGTGTGCAGGAAATAACTAAATCGCAGGGGTAATGATAGCCGTCCATATTAGATAATAGATGGGTAAATGCCGATGTCAATCGGTTTCTGATTAATGTTCGGGTTCCTTCAGAAATGGGAGGTTTAGCCTCTGAGTTATTCGAGTATGCTAATGATGCAAGCTGAGGTAACGCAGCGGTTTTGATCCAACTTGAGTTTTCTGATGCTTCTGTGATATCAACATGTCGAATTGCGGTTAAGACATAGTCTCCGAACATTTGTCGACGTTTTTCGGCGTCATTGGTTTCCGAGCTTGGTACGACTAAAACGGGAGAGGTGAGAACATCGAGGACGGCCTCGCCATTTGTGTCATCAACCATGCTTAGCAGTTTCTCTATCGTTTTTGTCTTTGTGACCCGGTCAAAACTGTATGCACCGTTACCGTCAATCAATCCTTGGAGGACAACAACCAATGCTTCAGGATTCTCTTCCACTGCGTGTGTAAGAACCTTGAGCGACTTGTCGGCGGCCCGGTTTAGGAAACGGTCTTTTTCCTGAACGTGATTGATGAGGCAGCGGACGAGATTGTGGCTGAAAATACTAGTGATAAGTGTTGTACACGAAATATGGCTTTGAATCATTCGTTGAAAAACTAAGAAGCCCCAGAATTTACGCTCTCTCGATGCAGATGCAGAAAACAGATTTTCTAGCGAACAGTCAATAATGGGTCAAGATATAGATTGTAAATAACGTACCATCAACAGTAACCTTCCAAAATTTGTCGAATTCAGACATGATGTTCTTGGCCTTGCTATTAGCTGCTTTAACATATTGACTCAAGACAATCTCCCAAACAAAATGTAACTTCGCATTCCATGTTCCAGTTTGCTTGGCTTGTTGTCCTTTACTCGAAGTATCCTCGCTAGAAGAACTCTCCTTGAGTGCTTTTGCAAGGGAGTTGAGGTGCTCCAATGGGTTACCACTCTGCCCCCAAGGGTTACTTGGAAACTTCATTTTTGGAAACTTGTCCCTCGCTCTGAGCCAGATACCAACACCTTCTGGCGAGAGTCCTAATCCAACATCGCACAATTTTTTCAAGGTAGATTCCGCCTGTTCTTGGTTCATCTGCTCCAAAGCTTCCATAATTACCCAACCGCATTCCTCCCGAGTCCAGGACTTTTTGCTGGATAAATCCAATAGCTTGTCCAGAATCAATTCCCATTTTCCATCGACCGAGAAAAGTATCTTGGACCTGACAAAGCATTGCAGTCCAAACAATAATCCAAGCGCATGATCTTTCTGTTCCTGTCCGCTAAGATCGCCCTCGGGCTTTGTTTTGAGGATTAAAAATTCGAAGACGTTATCGAAAGTCAATCCAGGATATCTTGTCGCACTTAAATTCGCCGAACCAAAAAGCTGGGCCAAGAGTTCCGAAAGTACAATGCTGAAGCCCAATCGCGCTCCCTTCCTGCCACTTGCGAGTCCCCGAAACAATCTTCTCTCCAAGTGCTTTTGTAATGTTGATTCTTCCACTCCATCCCCGCCTAACAATCCGGATACAATCGCATTGGCGGCATCAAGTCGTTGCGAATCATCCTCACTACTAAGCATATCGTAAAGATTGACTTCGCGCTTCAAATCGTCGCCTCTTGGGTTGTTGACAAAGGGTGATGTATCGAGAGGAGCAGGTGTTTCCACGGGCTTCTTGGTTGTTGGCTTAGAGGGTTTTTGTTGCTTTTTGGCAGCAGGAGCTGCAACTGCAGCATCTTGAGCTGAACGCTTTCTTTTGCTACCCATTTCGAATTATAAATTGATAGTTGCAGAAATTGTAAAATTTGAAGAGCTCAGTCTGAAAACTTGACCAAAAATTAAATTCTGCCATGAGGCGGTAAGACTATCAGCTCTCAAATCGGATTAGTAGACTTATACCTTGCTAGCGTCTTTTTAATATGGGTTCGAGAAGCTCCCCTCGAGCTCCCCATATTCTGGAGGCCGGCCAGGCATACAAAAGTCCAGAACTTCTCAACTACAGGTAACCAACGTCTTATATCGAAGATTTGGTCTATCACTTCGTCCAAGTACACTCAAAGGCTTCGAAGGAGTATTTCTTCATCTTCATTCATTCACACGTTGAAGACATAACCTAACCCATCTAGATAGCTAGTACATACACATCATGACAGTTGTCATCCAATGTCTGGAATCGAGTAGCATCTGCCTAAATCCTGATAGTTGATAACAACCATTCATCACAAATTAAAACATTAATCCCCTCATCCTATTCCTTCTTGGCAACCTCATTGCTCCTTGATTGTAAGATACATGTATGGTATCTTGTGAATGTATCACTATTGTAAGGTGAACAAAACAGGGGTATAATCATTCGACTTTTAAGTAAAGCATGTACATTGAGGGGCAAAGTTTAAATGGCTCATGCATAATACATACAAATATCCTTTTCACTATCTACCATTAATCTACTCAAGAGATATCGAAAAGTGGCTTCAACTTCAAAATCAGTGCCCACTCATCCTTCTTGACTTCATCTCTGTAGAACTCCTTTAGGGTGTCGATACTCTTTCTGCTAATCAATGAGTACAATGTATCAGATTCCTCCAAATGTCTACCATAAGTCGGTTGTGAACTGCCCATTTCGATTTTGATAGCAACGGAAGGTTCTCCTCTCTTGCACTTTTCGAGTTGCTTGTGATCACGTTCAATGGATGTGACTCTTCCAATACCCACAATCTCTTTACTACCAGTGACCGAGTTGTGTTTGACAGCGGCTATAGGGGTGTGCAATCTGAGATTTCCTTCAACAACATCAACACCGATGACAATAGGGCCGGTTTTGTTGAAGACAGCTACTGGTTTAAGAACGCAGGGGAAGACTGCCAAAAGTTTAGAAGCTTCCTTCTTTGCCTCAGCAATAACCTGCATATGCTTGGTGAAAGAATCGAAAAGATGATAGATAA